GGGGGGGGGAGTGGTTCAGGGGTTTCAGTGGGGGGTTGGACATGGTGGTTCAGGGGGGTCGTGGGGGGGGATGTTGGCATTTGACAGGGGGTCAAAGCAGGTGAATCCAAACTGTCTTGCTGGTATGTCAGAGACTTGTTGCAGGTGTGTATGTGGTGGTGGAAGAAGAAGAAGAAGAAGAAGGAGAAGAAGAAGAGGAGGAGGAGGACGGAAGAAGAAGAAGAAGAAGAAGAAGAAGAAGAAGAAGAAGAAGAAGAAGAAGAAGAAGACACCGCGGTCAATCTCTGCCACTGATCTTCCAAGATCTGCGGCTGAGATTGGCCACGGCGTTTCATGGAAATTGCGGGGCCCACGGGGCCCGGTTTTCCTTTCAACCAGTGGTGGCGGCCTGGTTTAGGCTACGTGGGCACGCGCAGGCCTGAAAATCCCTGGTACCCCCCCCCCAAAGGCAAAATAGTCTGGGGTGGACCGTGAGCCTACTGGCCCGGTCCACCGGCCGGTCCGACCGGGAGCCTCCCGATCGGGGGAGGGCTCCCCGGTCCATCCGGGGACCAGCCCTGACCATTTCTCGATTTACGTGTGTCATCCTTGCGCAGGGGCCATGATAATGTTCTTTGTATCGTTCCAATTTTAACGGATGTCCCGAAGGACACGACGCACCCTGATCTTGAATGCAGACAAGCAATCTTTCTCGGGCGATACAGTCATCATGAGGGTGTGTGTTGTGTCCCGGGGAAGACAGTAAGAAGTTCATCCTCATGAACATGCTGGTGAACAGTGGTGGTTTAGGATTCTAGTGCTCACTGTGTCAGCTAGTTGACCTGAGGGGTCATGTGTTCAAATCCTAGACATATTGGTTTGTACAACTTTGCAGCAGGAGGAAGCTCAATTGCCGGAATAGCGATCTGTTGAACAGGCCCTCTTTTCTTTTCATCCTTTTTGTTTGCTGCAAATTTTCTGGATAATGTCTAGTCTGGCACCAAACATCACACTGATCAAGGTTAACGTGACTTGGGGTACAGAATTTAGCAAACAGTCCCACCAAACAGCTGAAACCGATGATGACCTGCACCGTGATGCTGTGGATCACCGCCACTTAAGGGTGAAACGGGGCTGAACACCACAAAGGGTGAAACGGGGCTGATGTTTTCCCCTCTCACCTGAATGGCAGAATCGATATCGCCTGTTAGAAAACTGTTGAGATCAAAGTTCACCTTTGTTCGGTGGTCAGAAACCCTGTTGTCCTGTAGTTACTCACGCCATGAACACAACCCATACGAAGAAGCACACCATCATATGCACGACACACGCGATAGACCACGTTAAAGAAAGCAAGACGAAACAACACATGCAAAGCAGTGACTCGTTCAGATTCGATTTTGAACTCAGGTCTGTATTTCAACAGTTCATTCATGTACCAACCATGGTTGTTAACCGGACGTCCAGATCCGGATCCAGACGGTCCGGTCTGGATGTCCCAGTCCGGTGTCCGGTTTGGGGGTTCCGGTTGGGCCTCGTTTCAAGAAAATTCAAAAAACAAATTGGGGGTCCCTAAGCGATTTTCAGTGCCCGGTGGAACCCCGAAAATTATTGGCGCAGTTTCTGGTGGACCGTTGGGCCAACCAGACCGTTGGGTGAACTTCAGCGGGCCAAGGAGAACTGGTTGTTGGAGGCATTCGCTGCCCGCCGGCGGGAGGAGGTGTGTGTGTGTGTGTGTGTGTTCAAGATAAGTCGGATAACACAACTGCAGCAGCGTGTCTGTTTTTTTTTTTTTTTTTTTCAATCTGGACATCCGGACTTGCTCATCCATGACCGGACCGTCCAGGTCCGTAAGTCCGGTTGTCCTGATCGGTGTCTGGATTACCGGACGTAACACGGATCCGGGCCCAGTGTCCGGTGTCTGGATGTCCGGGTTCGGGGCAACCATGGTACCAACTGAGCTTGTTTAGATTTCTCAATCAATTTTGTAATGCTTGAGATTTGCATGAGGCCAACCAGTGCATGCTACAAGCAGAAAAGCGAATTTCCGCAAAAGCAAGCCAATCAAAGCCAACCAATGCATGGCATACTACCGCTATCCGGACAACACTATTTTTTTTTGAGCTGCGCTAATTTTTTCGGTAGGCAAGACTAGGAGTTAGGGTTGGCCCAATGCCGCGCTGAGCCTGTGAACGTGGAACGAAGGCGTGTTAGACGAGAGGTGGTTGCGTGCGCCATAGCTGGGCGTGGAAAGGATGGCTGCCCACGCGTGCACCATCGTGGGGCGACACGCGGAAACATGCCTGTACTGCGCGCGCGGAAGGGTCAACTGCACGCCAAGACGGCTACAAGGGGGTAGGAAGGTAACGGTAGAGGGGTAACGTGGTTGGTTTGGAATAGAAGGGAGGGAGGACTCCGCAGAACGCCAGCTTTCCTCAACGGCAGAAACTGAGCGGGAGGTCAACAGAAACGCGCGGAAGGCAACCCTCCAGACGGCGTTTGTCGACGGTGACTGTAGGAGAAACTAGAGTCGGCCTGGGATGGAGTCTGGTGTAGACGCATTCAAGATGAGCGACCAAGAACTGGACCTACCCGCAAGGACGAACCCTTCACTTGGAACGACCGCCGCCAATACGCCTTCGACTTCCTCAAACAAACCATCACCATCCGAATTCGCCCTTGGAACCGTCCTATCCCAACACTTCCCTCGCAACACCTCTGAAACCCCCTCCATCAAAGACTCCCCCACCCACCCCGAGGCTCCACCCGGTGAGTACCCCATCGCCTTCGCTAGCAAGAAGCTCCTTCCCGCGGAGATGAACTACCCCTCCAACGAGAAGGAACTCCTCGCCGTGATCCACGCCCTCAAAGTCTGGCGCCCGTACCTCGACGGGCAATACTTCACCATTCGCACGGACAACACCATCGTCTCCTCTATCCTCACCAAGAAAGACATCACGCCGCGCCAAGCCCGTTGGTTAGACTTCCTTGCCCAATTCACATTCACCATTTGCCACACCCCCGACAAAAGCAACTGCGTTGCCGACGCCCTCTCTCGACGCCCCGACCACAAGCCCTCCGAGAAAGTCTACGCTGCCATGACTCATATCCAACTCCTACCATCGCTCCACCACCGCTACACCCAAGGCTACCTCTCTTGCCCGGATTTCTCAAAAATCTACAACAAACTTTGTGATCTCGACTCAGTCCCTGACTACTCCCTTCACGACCAACTTCTTTACATTGACACCAAAGGCACTTGTGTGATAACCCGTCCAAACACGGACTGAAACACACAGCTGATTTCTGTGTTTTGCTCACAGACTGAATGCCCTACTGAGTTCCCCGCCTGCTAAGTCTGTGTGTGTGTGCTTGCTGGACTGCATGTCTGTCTGAGTGCTGTTTGGCTTGCGTGTGTGACCGTGCCTGTCGGAGTGCTGGTTGGTATGAGTGTGTGTGTGTGTGGCCCGCCAGGGCACTTGTTCGTTCGTTGGGCCCTCAGGGCCGGTACTTACCTGTGGCCGTGGCTTCGAAGGGTTGCAGCACGGAAAAAGCACTCAAGTAGCGGGTAGGCCGGTACCGCACCCGGCAGGGGGGTAAATATGCGGGTACCGGAGGCCGAGCAGAAGAAGACAAAAGTGGCATTTTTAGAGGCCGGTAGTGTAGGCTAGGTCTAGCGGGTACCAGTCTGAGTCTAGGGCCTGTAGGGGCAATATCAGAGTCTGCAATGATGTTCCCTCCAAAAGGAGGAAGAGGTACCGGTTGCTTGGGAAGGCCAGCGGCCTGGAAGTCACCGCCCAGGAGGCAAAGCAGGCCGCTATATCTTCCGGCCGGGCGGAAGACCCGGCCTCTTTTTCGGTGCAAGTTTGGCGACACACTAGTGGAGCGCTGGAGGGAGCAGCGCTGGGTTGGAGCTGCGCTGCTGGGGAGGAAGAAAAAGGACTAGAGGGAGGAAGAAGGAGGAAGGAAGGAGGAAGGGGGAGGAGCGCCAGGGGTACTTACCTGGCTATGGTGGTAGCCATCTTCATCACCTTGGTGGGCGCTGCTGCAAGGAGTCCCCAGCCGGGGGAAGCTACACCAAGAAGCTTCAAGGCAGGGCTGGCCATGGCGGCCTGAGCTGTAGCAGCCTGTGTTGTCCGTTGGACATCGGAGCAAGGCCTAGTAGTCCGCCATAGCCTCGGCCTATGTGTGTGAAGAGTGGGGGAGGCGGCCATGGTTATGGTGGACCTTGAGTGATACTTGCAGTAGAAAAGGGACTCGGACATGATTCTGGACCAGTCATTCAACATTGTATTATTATTTCTTGTATGAATAAGAGAAGGGGGAGATAAGGAGGAGGAGATTGTTGGGCGAAGAAGAAGAGCCTTGTCATTGTCTTTGCTGGTGTACATCTTCTTCTTCTTCTTTCTTACTTCTTCTTCTTCTCCAACACCTCTCTCTCCTCTCAAGTTCATTCATTTCTTTCTGCAATTGGATGGCATTGTACTTTCCAGTGGATGTGTATCTCGAAATTGGCCCGGGTCATAACACTTGCCGACTTTGCATCCCCGACGCACGTGGCCTCCGTACCTAGCTCTTGGCCGAGCATCACGACACCAAGACGGCAGGACACCTCGGGTTCCAGAAAACCTTTGACACCATCTCTCGTTACTTCTACTGGCCTTCCCTACTCGCCGACGTCAAAGCCTACATTCGCTCATGCCCCACATGTCAAGCCGTCAACACCTCAAACCACGCCAAGCCCGACAAACTACAATCATTGTCGATCCCCACCCACCGGTGGCAGTCCATCTCCATGGACTTCGTCTACGGTCTCCCCAAGACCGACCGCAGACATGATTGCATCTATGTAATTGTTTGTCGCTTGACTAAACGCGCCCACTTCATCCCTTGCACCACATCGCACAACGCCAAGGACGTCGCCATTCTCTTCTTCGACCATGTTGCACGCCACCACGGTCTCCCCGAGAACATCATCAGCGACCGTGACCTTCGCTTCCTTTCACAATTATGGAAACACCCTTTTAAAGCCTATGGAACCACGCTCAAGTATAGCACTGCATTCCACCCACAAACCGATGGAAAAACCGAGAAGATGAATGATACTCTCCAAAGAATGCTGCGGAAGTATTGTCATCCACATCAACACGATTGGGATCAATTGCTCACCGCCGTCGAGATCGCCTACAACAATGTTGTCTATCCTTCCACTGGCATGTCTCTATTCTACCTTGACCTTCGCTATCGTCCACGCTTGCCCTCTGGCTTCCTGCTCCCCTCGCAACTCCACCCCTCCACCCCTTGCCCTTCTCTCAATGAATGGGTAGCAACAATGAACAGACTCCTCACTGAAGCTACCGAAGCCCTTGAACGAACACAAGAACAACAAGCCAACAAGACCAACAAACACAGACGAGACGTAACATTCAAACTAGGGGACAAAGTCTGGCTCTCCGCCAAACGCTATGAACCCGAACACGGCTTGTCCAAAAAACTCTCGAACAAATGGCTCGGTCCCTTCCCCATCATTGAACAAACCTCCCACGTCAATTACAAGCTCCAACTCTCTCCTGACATGAGTTGTGTCCACCCTGTCTTCCACGTAGAATACTTGAAAGAATACCATGAATCCCCACCCCAATTCGCTGACCGCCCTTACCTCAAACCTCCACCGATCATGCTTCCCACAGGCCCAGAATTCGTAGTAGAATCCATCATACGTTGACGAACCACACAAGTATCAAACCATCCGGAACCAATCACATAACACAAAGTTAAATGGACCTGATACCCTGACGAAGAATCCACATGGGAACTTCGCAGACTTCTGGAGCAGCACCTCTGACATGCACATCAAGATCAGTCTGCGACCTGCTATCCGGATCAAACCTCATCATCAGATCATGTACTGGACGCAACCTGCTACTGCGACAATCAAGCTGAAGTCCTCGCCGTCTACATCACGGAACTGTTGAAGACTGTTTCCTCATTGCCACTTCTGTGACACCCTTCAAGACCTTCCCCAAGACATTTCTTCGCTTTTGACACTTTGTTACAGACCTGAGATGTTGTTTTCCCAGACACCCCAGCACTTGAGCATTGAACAAACAATTTTTTTGTTTTCCTTCTTTCTCAAACCTGACAACCTACAACCTTGTAGAACACCAATAGGACCTCCCGGTTACCTGTAGAACCTCAGTAAGATTACCCTGTTACTTGAGCATTGATTCCCTCATCCCTGTAGAACCTCAATAGGATTACCCTGTTACTTGAACATTGATTCCCTCATCCCTGTAGAACCCCCATAGGATTACCCTACTTACCCTACTACTTGCAGTACTCCCCCTTTCCTTTTCTGACCAGTGATCGTCCCCGTCCCGTCCTTCACAGTTGTTCATTGGGTCTTTGGCAGCCAGGACGTTGCCTTCCAAAGGGAGGGGATAGTGTTAAAGACCCAGCCAGGGCTCAATCCCTGGTCCGCGGGTTACCACCCGGCAGGCTGCTATTCTTTTTTTTTTGGAGTCTCTGATCTCCAGTTCCTGACTGTTGGCGCCCTCTGCAGTTGGCGCCCGTTCTCAAATCCCGCCTCTGCCACTTTCGGATTTCGTACTTGGTGCCATCCGGCATTCTGGCGCCCAGGCTCAGACCTTCGATTTTCAGTTCAGCCCCGAGGCGATTGCACTTTTGCCCTCGGACTCAACTTGAGCCCGGTACTTAAGACCGGACTCAAGCTGAGTTCGGGGACTCAGTTTTCAGCCTCAGTGCTTGTGCTTCAGTGTGACTTGCTGCAACATTGTGTACGGAACCAAGCTTGCGACTTTGCGACTTTGCCACTTTGTGTTCGTGTCCGTCGAGTCGTGTCGAGTCCGTGTCGAGTTGAGTGAGTGTGTGTGTGTGTGCTCTCACTCCCTCCCTCTCTCTTCCCCGACCTCGCTGCTCTGCCTCAGCCCGTCACACGCGTTGTACATTCTGTATGTAGAATATCTTCATGAGATGATTAGGGCCGATGAGGGTATTAAAGGTGTAGAACTGGAGACAGGGGATCGTATCAAATCGACTGCCTTTGCGGACGATACCGGGGAGGTGATTGGCACTAACAGTGAGGAGTTGCATGCATTAAAGGCGGTCATCAGGAGCTTTGAGCAGTATGCAGGAGCAAAGATCAATTGGCAGAAATTGGTTGCCATAGTACCGAAGGACTTCCAAACACCGCTGGGTTGGGAATCTACCTGGCGGCCGACACAGATGGTCTCACTCAGACTGAGGAGGTGGCGGCTGAAGCGATCAAAAGAATGGCGAAATGGGGAGAGGCTGCTCATATGGGGATAAGGGGAAGGGCGCTGATAGTGAATAATGCCGTGCTCTCTGTGCTGTGGTATGTTTCGGCAGTTTATATGTCTCGAAGAAGAACCTTTACCACCGTTAGAACTGCGGTGACCAGCTTCTTGTGGTCAGGGAAACCGCATGCAGTCAAGACGATTCCCAGGTTAGCCTGGATAAAACTTGTCCAGCAAGTCTGACGGTGGCCTGGGCATCATAGACCCCCCCACACAAGCTTTGGTATTGCAAGCACGAAACACCCAAGGGCTCCTGGCAGCTGATTCAAGGGACCAGGCAGCGGCCTTTGCCAAGGAGAGAATTGCAGCAACAGTCAGAGTCCCGCCTCATGCTCTTGCTAAACAGAGATGCTTACGGGTCTTAAGAAGAGGACGGTGTGGGCCCCTATACTGGCCAACTGTGGGATGCTCATACCGGTGGTCGACAAGCCTGCCACAACGGATCAGATCTTCAACCAGCCCCTGTTCAGAAATCCGGAGATCTGTGATGTGGATGGCCAGCCCTTCCAGTGGTCGGGGAGGATGGGAGCCTTTGGCCGCCAATGACTAGAAAGTGGGATCAGCACGGTTGGCCACCTCTCGGACATGTGAACGACCGAATGGAGGGATGAAGGTGAGGTGCTGCAACAGTTGCCACGACAGATTGCGAAACACGAAAAGCTACACACCATGGTAGCGGAGATCCCGCAGGAGTGGGAAGCTGTGCTCAGAGAGGACAGAAGAAGAAGAGGAGAGTGGGGAAGGTTGAACTTGGGTCCCCAACCAATGGAGGAGCAATCCGACCCGGACGATAGCGAGGTGGGCAGGATTATGGCTGTTAATGACATGGACGGGGATAGGAGGCTGGTGGTGGAGTGCTGGCAGGCAGTGGCGGCAGGATATGCCCTGGGTCCACCTATAAGGCGCGTGATAACGCCTGACAGAAGAATTAGAGAGGAGTAGTTCATCCCAATTGCGATGGAGACGGAGAACAAGGCCGGAAGGACGACGTATAGGCCATACAGGATTGCGCAATGGCAGGGAGAGTTGGGGGTGGACTTCACGACCTATCACTTCCACCCCGTTTTCTTGCTTCACCATCGAGTTTCATTGTTCCGGGCTTCCACAAAAGCCCTGTACCTGCAACTCCTCCAGCCGTATGATATCAGTGATGAGCTCAAAGGAAGATGGGGGAAAAGACGGTGGATGCCCCTGCAGAGATTGCAGCGGCGGTCCCCGGCAATGATGCGCCCGTTCACACAGCTCAACGCTATGCTCCCTGATCAGAAGCAGGATGGCCTGCTGTGGATGATTGTCCATCTGGCGGTGGCCACTGCGGAGTGGCAGGCCTCAAAATCGCAGTATCATAACACAATCTGTGGCGTCTGCGGACAGGCCGACGAGACAATTCCCCACCTGTTCTTGGGATGTGAATACGCAGTCAGGTTCTGGGAATGGTGGGAACAAGCGATGGCAGACTGGAGTCCACTCCCCCGAAAACAACTTACAACGGAGAGCATGCTGTTGGGACCCCTGGTACAAGGCGGTGAGATCAAGCAGCTCTGTGGTGCCACCCAATATGCTGCCGAGATAACTAGAGCCACCGCCTGCTGGGGAATTTGCTAAGCCCTGTCTGCAGTTGTTAAGGGAAGAGAGAAACCGGCAATGGCGGCAACAAGGGTGGCAGCCAGGCAAGCGCTCAGACAGGCAATTGCGGCCGACTTCCAACGCAGACATCTGAACTGCAGGGCCCCTCTCTTCGAGAATTCCCTATTTTATAGATCATGGAGACCGTTCCTGGCGCCGGTCAAATTTGATCTGGCAAATGGCTCCTACAAGTTTTGGAATTTACTCAGGGGGAACGACAGTCCGACAGCGGAGATAGTGGTCGATGAGGAAGGGGAGGTTTTGGGATAGGCCATTAGGAAGGACAACTCCAGTTGCCACTGGGGAAGGTAGATTAGGAAACGGGGGAAAGGGAAGAAAGCAATGGGGATAGGTGGGGCTAAAGTGGATGGCTCAGTTAGGATTGGCAGAACGTACAGAAATGAGTGGAAGGGGAGGTGGGAACCTTGCGCATATGAAAAAATGGCACGCCAGTGAACGGTGGTGACTGATGGCACGCAACAAAAAATGGGGGTGACAATGGTTGGAGCTCCGGGACCCTTGGAGATATGCTGTTATCTCCTATGGACCAGGGCAGCGGGTATAGCTTAGAATCCTAGAATAGGTGAGGAAGGGCGTTGGTCGCCCAGTGGGGGGCTTCGGGGGCACAGTTGGGTATGCGGTTGGGGATGTCAGCGCTGAAACGGGAGAATGGAGGAAACTGTTATGCAGAAGTAGAGGGAATAATATAGCTCTGAACGATCTAGTTTGAACAAGATAAGACTATAGGAAGGAGTGATACGGGGAACAGTGGAGAATTGATGCGGCAGCTGCATGTATACATTGTATAGCGGCACATTCTCAGCAGCGGGAGCATTGTTGCAGTGCAGAGGAGGAGGACGATCATGGCCCGGTCTCCCCCTCTGAGCGTCTGGGTTCGCAGAGCGTTTACCCGCGAGGGGGCTGAGTCAGTGAAAGCACGGCTGCCACCCTCAACAATGCAACAGCAGGTCAATGCCTATGGTGTCTTGAGACTTGGCAGAGTTGCTCCCTTGTTTCTTGAGTTGTTTTTTTTCAGGCTTGCCGGTGAAGAGTAACCGGACTGTTGCCCCCCAGAATAGAAGGGGCGGGAGTGTGTTTTGTGTGGAAGAAAAAAAGAAAAGCTAACCAATGTCGTCTCCTTTTTCTTCTTCAAAGCGGCGCTAGTAAACAACACTCCATCGCTTGTTTTTCAAAGTAATTGATGCGTGTATTCACTGTATTCAGTGTATTGTCATAAATGGCAACCAACCCGAGATTTATGTCCTACGAGAGCAACACAGGCTTTCAGCATCTCGACAGATGCAAGCATTGTTACTAGCTGTCATTTTACAATTCACCACTCTCAGAAAGTGATATGTGCTTTAACGTGTGTAGTCATGTTTGCTAAACACAATTCCACAGAGCAAACATGATTGCAAAAGGCAGTTCCATCACACTTCACTGACTCGTTGTGAGGTTGAACCCCCTCACGTGCGTCTGCAGCTGTGTCTGTGGTCTGCACACATGCTTGCATTTGTGTTGTCAAGAAAACACCAAGTATAACCCCATACCGGTGAACAACAAGATATGTGCAAGCTTCCCAGGCCTGAGCAAGACGCGTGCACACATCTGTCTGCTTAATATACAGTTGCGCTAAAAATAAATATTAGTAGACACCCCACAACCTCAACCCTTATTGTTCTCGTTGTCATTTGTTTGTTTGTTTGTCTTGTATGTGTGCTGTCATGTTTGCTATACACCACTCCACAAAAAGGTATGACCGTGCCAGACCGTTTCGTCGTACTGTGTGTGTGTCCACAACAACCCCTTATTGTATGTGATATTTTAATGATTGCAATGTTTTGATCAATTGTAAAACATGTATGGTTTGATGAAAAGGTCGTCTAATGCACGTGCGTCTTGCGACTTATAACAAAACACCAGAATCCAAATACATCCACGAAACAAAGGTGACTGTTACAGACTGTTCCGTCAGACTTATCAGTGACACATCAGGGGAACTAGTCCATCACAGCCATAAAACGCACTCTTCACACTCAGCCCGGGACAACCACTGGCATGACTGTGGTGCAAACCCAACCCTAGCCATATTTGTGTTTATTATTCACTATACACACATACACAGTCTGTCTATGTGTGTGTTATGGCAAGAGAGAGAGAGAGAGAGAGAGATCTTACCTTGTAGTTGTAAGTCCTGATCTTCTCTGATCTGGCACCTGTGCCAACCTGCCCGATGGTAATGTCGATGATAATTCACAAAATATTTCACCCATAACCACAGACACACATGATAAAAAAGCGTCATACAGGGTGGCATACGGATGGACACAAGTGTGGAACAAATCATGGGCAAGCTGGACGCACATGTGTCATTTGATGAGAGGAGAAGCTGACTTCTTTCTCTATACAATACTGGCCAAAGAAAATGCCGGTCAAAAGTATGCATCCCCTTCAACTTCAAAAAGCAAGGAACCGAGAGACAGCGGGCAACTTTCACTATTGCCACCATCGTATGATCGATAGAATATACTATCATAGATATAGATTGAAAAAAAAAAATTGAGGTCCTTTGTCAATCTGTGTTCAATGCTCTCACAAATCTAGGTTTCCTTTCTGATGCCTTCGCCTATTCCTTCTCTCTTTCATCGACTGAAATGGCTGTCAGAGTAATCTCAGAACTGTCACTTCCATCCTGTGCAGCCGATTTCAGATGTGGTGTAGTGAAGAAAAGGAAAGCCATAGCCAACAGCTTATACCATAAGGGGTAGCCACTTCAAGGAATGAGAGGTACGTGAAAGGGAAAGTTGAGAGCATGAAGGGCCAAAAACCCGGGAAAAGGGGGCATAGAATTAACAAAATCATGAGGAAACCAAGGATCATCAGAGACCAAAGAGGAGCAGAGAAGAAAGCGGGGGTAAATTCAGCTGGGAACCTGGGAATCAATTATGACATTACGGTAAGTACCCTTGTCATTCATTAACTTCTGGCCACAGAAAAAATACAGGTTTTGTGCGTTGTATCAAATTGAACCACATGCTCCACCACCCGTTGATAAGTTTTGCTTCGAGCAGGTATAATGACCAGGCGCTGTGTTCGGGGGAATGAGGTAAGTGTAACGAAGGCGGAATTGGACTTCGTTTTGCAAAGCCACATCACAAGAATATGTTCTTTACCTGCATGCGTCGCCTTGAGGAAACCTCCTCGTTTTGCTCTCTGATCTTTATCTCGTACCTGGACATTTCATTGAAAGACAAAAGTAGTAGTTAACATCACATCAGCCGCACATTAAAGAAATCCAAATTCATGTGCTTGGCCAAGTCATTCATATTGTGCACCAAGGAGTTCAGAAAGTTTATGGTGGCGTGAGCAGCATCGATTATTAAGTGCAACATTCCTCCTCCTTCTCCTCCTCCTGTTCCTCCTCCTCCTCCTCCTCCTCCTGCTCCTCCTCCTCCTTCTTCTTCTTCTTCTTCTTCTTCTTCTTCTTCTTCTTCTTCTTCTTCTAGTTCTTCTCCTCCTCCTCCTCCTCCTGCTCCTCCTCGTCCTCCTCCTCCTCCTTCTTCTTCTTCTTCTTCTTCTTCTTCTTCTTCTTCTTCTTCTTCTTCTTCATCATCATTGTCGCCATCGTCATCACCGTCTGTGTTGCACTTCCATCGCAGTTGTTTGGATATTTTGCTTGTAAGCCACAATTCATTGTTGATCGCATGCTCATGATCAACTTGGACCACACAGTGATTCCAGGCGATCATCAACTGCCCAGCACAGCACATGGCCCCCAGAACAGCTACAGTGAGTAGAAGAGGGTAGAATTGGTGGTGCCTCATGCTTGTATTCATTGGAATACCAGGTCTGCTTTCCAACAGGAGCTGCTTCCTACCAGTCGTCCGGAGCCTTCTGTTGAAAAAAAAAAAAAAGCAACGAAATTCAAATTGGTGGCACCGCTTCTGCAATACTTTTCCGCTGTCTACATGTAGAACATTTTCAAAGTGATTGGGCAAGTTTTGTCGTACTTTTGAAATGGTCATGCTAAACTGTTGTTCCTATTTCTTAACCTGCGTTCATAACAGAGTTACTATGAGTGTGACGGAAGAGTAAAACACGTTCACAACTTCACATGCATTCAACATAACCCAGTGCCCATGCCTGCCTTCCTTGACCTACAGGAAGGAACACCTGTTTCACATGCGACTCACTCCCTCCTTCCTTCTCTCCTCTCTCAGTCCCTTCACTCCCTCACTCCCTCCCTTATTTCTTCCCTCTTCTACCTCCACCCCTCCCATCTTCCCTCCCTCCTCTCTCTCCCTCCCATCTTCCCTCCCTCCTCTCTCTCCCTCCCATCTTCCCTCCCTCTCTCCAATTCTCTGTCACTTACTCCTTCCCTCCTTTTTTTTCTGTCCATTCTCCCTCCTTCCCTCCCTCCCTCCCTTGTTTCCTCCCTCCTCTACCACTTCCCCATTTTATGTCCCTCCCTTCCTCCTTCCCTCCCTCCCTCCCTGCCTTGCAATTCCCCTCAGCTACCTCTCTCTCTCTCTCTCTCTCTCTCTCTCTCTCTCTCTCTCTCTCTCTCTCTCTCTCTCTCTCTCTCTCTCTCTCTCTCTCTCTGTGCCCCTGCTTAGCTTGGATGGCAATCATTCCGCTGCTGAGCCATTGGTCAGTGCTCTCACCCTCTGCAGAAACCACTTACAGCTTCGCTCGAAGAATTTGCATCGCCCGATCTTTGTTTTTCAGCTGTGAGCGCTCTTCCGTGCAGAAGATGCGAATCCCCGTCGGTTTATGAAACAAATCAACCGCTGTTTCCACTTTGTTGACATTCTGACCTGGTTCAGAAAGTGCAACACATTGCAATACACACCAGAATACATTTGACATGTTGAGAAAGACAAGCTTATGAACTGTATCGCGTCGGCAGACACACCATCCGAAGAATGCATGTGAAGTTCAGGGAGCCATAACAGTACGGACAAGTTGAGAAAACTGAGAAAACTCAGAAAAGTGAATTTCAGCAGACAATTGACATTTGAAATGTTCAAACTTCAACATTGCTAACTTGCTAAGTGTTAAAAGTTAAAACTTACTATTCAAAACATACGAGGAAGGCAACTTTACAGGATGTACACAGGGAAGGCGCCTGCCTAGTGGCTGAATGGTGTACATAGTACATACAGCACTGTGATTGTTGTTGACAAACAAACAATCTGTTCAAAATTAAAATCCTCATTGCTACGATAATCTTAGGTGCTTACCCTCTCGAAACAAGAAAACAGAATGTACAGAGGGAGGAAATGCAGTTATTAAACTGCCAGTACGTGGCCCATACATCGGCCGCGGGCCCGAAATTGCCCAGCGCGCCACAAAAAAAACGATTCCGCACAGACGCACCTGCCCGCCGCTACCAGCCATTTCACAGCGGGCCTGCACTTCCATGTTACCTGCCGTGCTTTTCTTTTTTTTCAAGCGGGCAAAGGTACTGGTGGTTTAACAACGTATTACGATTGATGGATGAAACGACCGCCATAGTCCGAGCCATCGTCCTCCCATGAACAAAATGCACCCTTGTATACATACATCATTATCATGGTGCGTTGCATTCAAGGGAAGACGTTAGCCTGTGGCCAGATCAACAGCATGACAAAGACATGGAGACAAAGATCATAGGCAACAAAACGGGCAACACACTCAGTCTTCCACTCTTTGTAAGATCCGGAACCCTTTTCCAAATAAAAGAAAGAACAAACAAACAGACAAACAGAAAGGAAACAAACAGAAAAGTAAATAATAATAATAATAATAATAATTAAAAAAAAGAAAGGAAACAAACAGAAAAGTTGAGAGGACAAGCAACCAAGCAATTTCACAAAATGAATGGATCGGACACGAAGCAAAAGACAAATGGTGGTATTATCGACTGGAAAAACATCCTGATGATAATCATACATATTGATTAGATATTTCCATGATGTCATGTGCCTTTGGGAAAAAAAAGCACATCCGTGCAAATCTGCTGGGTCTAAATGACTACCTTGACAGCAGACTGGATGATATCCAGTCAACCCTTGACCAACCCACGGTTAAAAGAGAGCAACCCACGGTTAACAGAGTGCAAATCACAGCACACAGAATGTGATCCACAACCCATAGTTAAAGGGGTGAAACCTACAGTTAACTGAGAGCAACTACTAATAATCAGAGAGCAACCCACAGTTAACAGCATGAAACCCGCAGTTAAAAGAGAGGAATGCACAGTTAAAGAGTGCAGACCACAGAACACAGAATTCAACCCGCAGTTAACTCAGTGCTACCTGCAGTCAATAGAGTGCAACCCACGGTTTACAGAGTTAAGCCTACAGGTAACCAAGTGTAACCCACACTCAAGGGGGTGCAACCCACAGCTAACATGGTGCAACCAACCCACAGTTAAAATACTATGATAATCACAGCGCAAGGTTCACCTCCTCTGTGTGTGCAATGTAAGACTTTGCGTAACAACAAGTCATTTTTGGACTTGCAGACATACCACAAAGTCATTTTAAGATACGGCTTTAGTTATAGTCCTTCCCCATTTCTTTCCTGCTTTCTTCCCCTATCTATGGTAAGTGATCCTCCCACCGCTTCAACAGAAGTCGAGAAAGAATCAGGTACCTTAACCATGCATCAGGAATACAGATCAGGAATACAGATCATGGTTAAGGTCTGTGAGCTGTGTGACAGTAAATGGGGTCAAGAAACCTTCTCCCTGTCTTTGACAGAAAGGTCAAGGGTCCTCTTGACTCTAAAAGGTTAAAATGTCCCTGTTTCCCAAATATTTGACAGAAAGAGTGACAGAAAGAAGTCCTTTGGGATGTCTGTCAAAACCGCAACGATACAGAAAAAATTAACATGGCCCCTGCGCAAGGATGACACAAATAAATCGAGAAATGGACTCCAAATAAAAAAAAAAAAGAATTACAGCAAGAATGACAGAAAAGAATCAGGGAATTAACCATGCATCAGGATTACAGGTGTTCGACAGAAACCTAGTCTTGATGAAAGCCCTGCATACTGTCAAATACAGGGAGATTTCTTGAATTTAAGCAACTTTACAGCAGCTTTATTAAGAAAATCCGATCTCTGAGTTGCTCTCTATGGGGCATAGCTCTCAACCCAGCGAGGAGAGGTTCCCTGACTATCCCCAAAGGGGAAACTTCTTACTTCGAAGATAGTAAAATACTCGATTGGCGGGGGGCCGGGGCGCAGCGCTTCCGGGAGCGCTGCGCCCTGCTGGGTTGGCACTCTCACACGGGCAGTCCTGTGGCGCCCTACAGGTTGGAAATATGTGAGCGCGAAGTGGCGGCTGGGTATGACGTGGACAGTCTTGGCATGGCGGCGCCTTGGTGATGGGGTAGTGATGAAGTAGAGATCGGTCAGCGGGAGGGCAGGAGGATGGAGCGTGACTCGGTGTTGCCTGCCTTTTGAAAGCACTCCGGTGCCATCTCCAGCTTTGCGCTTCATCCAGTGGTGTTACAGGTTAGCACGTTGGGTGAAGGGGAACTCGCCTTCGAGAGGAGGTGGGTCTCCTTGAGAAGTTCAGCCTTCTTATGGCTTTGGCTCCTTGGTCTGCGTAGTGTTGTGGTAGGCGGTTGGTATGACGCGGACGGAAAGGAGGAGCGCGTGCTTACATGGAGCGGGAGGAGGATTGGAGGCGATATCGAGTGCGTTGATTTTGGTTTTTGTATACATCTCTGTCATCTGCGGCACTCTCGCTGATTACCACCAGCACCATCATCGGCGTCATCATCATTAAGGTTGCGCTCGTCACCATCATCATCAACAGGGTGTGGTTTTACTTCATCATCACGGTAATGATTTGTCATCATCATCAGGGCACTGCTCATCATCACCATCAGCAGCATCAGGGTACTGCTCGACATCATCATCAGGGCGTATGTCTTCACTCCTGTTCAGCGCTAATATCATCACCATTATCAAGGAGCCATGCATCAGGGGTGCTGCTCATCACTCATTGTTGTATCGCCATCTTCAATATCTCTCCATCATACGCCTTGCTCATCCATATCATCATCATCATTATCATCATCATCATCATCATCATCATCATCATCATCATTAGGTTATCATCCAAGGTGTTTGTCATCACACCATCATCATCTTGTAGTCATCATAGGGCGCTGTGCGTCATCATCATCATCGTCATCATCATCATCATTATCATCATTATCGACATCACCATCATCATCACCATCATCATTATCATTACCATCATCATCATCATCATCAGTTTGTAATCATAGGGGCTGTTGGTGCTGCTCTTTGGTATGATCAGCATCATCATTCCGTCTTCATTCTCATCATTATCATCATCAGCAGCAGCATCATCATTCCGTCTTCATTCTCATCATTATCATCATCATCATCAGCTTGTTTTCATTAGATGTTGCTCTTCACGGAATCGTTTGCCTTTCGCATCAGCAGGTGAGTTGGTTGTCACCATCATCCTCATTATCATCATCTTCAGGGTGCTCTCCATCATCATCAACAAAATCCAACACAATGCAAGCGAATGACATTTTGGTAAGTGTGTCATCAATAACTGCAGTCGGCTGGATCGGATCGTTCCCGGAGGGCTGAACGGTGGGAAGGGGTTGGGGGGAGCTCTATTTTGCAGGGACATCACAAGGTGGGGGGTGAATGTCTCAAAGAGGGTAGGGGCAGAGTAGGGGGTTGCCCTATTCTGGGGCAGGGGCTGTGTAGGGGTCAACATCAGTCCCTGCGGAGGCAGAAATGGGCAAGGGGGGGGGGGG